CGTTCAGACAGCAATGTTGCACAAGGGATGTTCCACAGCTGATAGTGAAACTTTGGGAGTTCTCACAGATGCTCTCTTTATCATGGGCTCATGTAAACTGGCTCTGACAGACCCAGACAAAAGGACATTCAAATATTCTGCCACTGTGAGTACTTTTTTCAGTCCTGCAAGTGCCACAAATCCTGACACTAATCTGACCACAGGAAATCTCTCAGTGATCACAGCCCCAGCCAGGTGGGCAGATGCCTGAGTGGAACCTTCTACATCTCCCTACATTCCTCTGCATTGCTTCCATTTCTGTCAGAGACACAAAAAACCACCGAAGCAGAGGTTGTTTCCTGCTGGAACAGTTATAAAATCCTGGAAGAAATGCAGAATGTGAAATTTCTGGTATAAAAGTAAAAAGAAAAAGTAAAAAGAGCACCCACTTCTCTTGGAGCTTGCAGCTTCAGAACAGTTTGCAAGTCAAAAACTGCTCCCCATCACTTGAAACATTAAGAAGCTAATTAGAAAAGAGAGGTGTTCACTGTACCAAAGCTTCATATTCAAAAGACCCTATGTGCCAAACTGGAATTATGGGTGTCACCACTGCTAGCTTGGCACTGCTTTTCAAAAGCTCCTCAGTCGGGCTGAGTAGCAGTTTGAGAAGCAGCATTTATGCTCTTATGATTCATTTCTATCTGCCAGAATAACCCTCAGCTCATCTGCAATTATATGCCAAAAAATTCAGATATTCAAGGGTATTACAAACTGCATGCAGTTCAGTGCAATGTGTTAATATAGGACACATTTACAGACTATGAGTCTAGCAAACCAGAGTAGCTTCATTTAAAATCAACAAGCAGCCTGGTTAATTACCAGAACTAATCTAGAAGAATCAATATTTCTCCAATCAAGACATATAACAAGACCCTTCATGCTATTTACTCAGCAATATATAACTGTTTCTAGAATCTGCAGATTTTGTTCACTTTTAAGCCCATTAAGCACTAACTACTTTTTATTAGGTCTACTTAAATTCTTTTTTACCTTTACTGTAATAAACCAGATTTTGAAATAACTGGAATAATTTAAACTTCACTGCATTAATCAGAAGTACTTTACTGTAAGTAAGTTCATTACTTCCAGGCAACTGGAAGCTTTTCCTATGCCTGGTTTGACTGACTGACTCTCCTCCCAGGCACTACTACAGGCTCTAAACTCAGGCTTAAGGTCAGCATGTCCTCAAGGTTTGCTTGTATAACTGCTTTTACAGTTATTACTCATCCCACATCTGTACCAACAAGATATATCTTGAGCTAAACTGTTTGGTTTGGGGTTTTTTTGTTTAGGTTTGGTTTTGAGGTTTTTTGGGTCTTTTTCCAATTTTATAAAGTAGATCACTTCAGTAGACATTAGGGAACAGTTAACCCAGGGCACACAGGACAGTAGTAAGGGCCACTGCTATATCTTCAGCACAGGAAAAAGAACTGCACAAGGTGATGTTTGGGCCTTTTGTTCCCATCTTGCAACACAGATCCAAAGCACCCAGATGACTTCGTACTGAGCAAGTTGAAAGCTCACAAAGCCAAGGCAAAGAGCATCCAGAAGTGACCTGCAAAATGCCCACAAGGGCCCAGCAGCCCCATCACCAGCTCACACACTGCACTGAGCCTCTTCCTCTCTGTCCTTTTCATACATCCCACAGGAAGGGGCTTGCTCAGCTTTTAGAGGGTGTTCTTTATCAGCATTTGCAACCACAGGTTGGTTGTCTTCAGCTCCTCAGTCTGATTCACTCTTGGGCACCTCTTATCCCATTAAACCTGAACACCACAACAAGGAGGAAAGGGAGGCTCTCTCTGGAGGGAGACGCAGGTGCAGAGATTGGGCAAATGAAGCCTTGAATCAAAAGTGGCCTTGCTGCTAAAGTACAGTAATATTGTCCTGAAACACATCCTGTGACAGTATTTGTATTTAGATCTGTGCTTTCTGCTGTTTTGGAAAGCACTGCCAAAGGTCCTGAACGTGTGGCCTTCACAACTTACACATGTGAAAACAATTGCTCCCACAGCAACATTGACATTTTCAAAACAATTATGAAAGAGTAAATGCCATTATGGCTTCTAAGAAAGCACTTTGCGTTTGGATTACTTTTTTCTTCTCAAAATAAACATCCCCAGGAGATCAAGTTTGGTCCTTAAAGTTTCACCAGCAGATATTCACAGCTGGAAGTTGATCCTGTGCTGGCCCAGAGCAGTGACCACCCTGGCAGGGCTGAAAAGTGCTGGGTTCCAGCCATAAATGCACCCAGCACCGTTCAGCAAGGCTGCTCTTTCCCTGGGAAAGAGGCACAAAGCTTAATGGTTTAAAAAGTTTCTGAAGAGCAGGAGAACTGAGTGCTACAGAAAAAAAACACTGTCATGCTCCCTTCCTCCAAATACAAGGTGCAACGACTCAGTGCCCCCCCTGTTAAAAACAGATAGGAGAGAACATCACTTCTGCAAGTTGGGCAAAACTGATTCTGCCTGAAAACCAGACCACACCAACAACAGCAGGGATCACACCTCTGGGAGCAGCTTGTCAGAACATCACTCTGCCAGTGGAGGGGCCTCTGTCCTACAGGCTTTGAAACCACAGCCTCCACACTGGTAAATTAAACATGAAAACAGTGGCTATGACTGGTCTTCCAATATATTTTACATTTTGCCTTGCTTGAACTGTAGAAATTCTTGAAACTGTGACTGCCATGACTGCCTTTGTGAGCTGCTTTCAGGTCTAGCCTGATGAATCCAACTATTTTGTTTTCCTCTTTCTGGTTCCAATTAAGTTTTTTATCAAAATTGACTTTTTCAGCAATTTCTACAAATTAGAACATTGACAAGCCTGAGAGACAAATCCCCCCAGGAAGAGACACAATAAGGACAACAGCAGCAGATGACAGATCACAGAATCACGGTTTGGGCTGGGAGTGACCTTGAAGATCATCCAGTCCCAACGCCCTGCCATGGGCAGGGACACCTGCCTCTATCCCAGGTTGCTCAGAGCCCCACCCAACCTGGCCTTAAATGCTTGCAGGGATGGGACATTCACAACTTCTCTGGGCAACCTGTGCCAGGGCCTCACCACCTTCACAGGGAAGAGTTTACTCCCAGTATCTCCCAATATCCTACTCCTTCTTTCAGTTTGAAGCCTTTCCCCCTTGTCCTATCACTCCAGGCCCTTGTAAATAGTCTCGCTCCATCTTCCTTTCAGGCTCTCTTTAGGCACTGGAAGGCCACAGTAAGGTCCCCTTTTCCAGACTGAACAATCCCAATCCTCTCAACCCTTCAGGGCAGTGGAGGTGTTCCAGCCCTCTCATCATCTGGGTGGCCTCCACTGGACAATCAAGAAAAGTAAAGGCTGAAGGAATTATTCAGGGGGTTAGGCAATCCATGCAGCCTGCAGCAGTTCTTCACTCAGAACATTTCATATCCAATTTATTCCTCGTTGCAGGTTCTAGTGACCCAAGACACGACACCCAGGCCACACCACTCAAGGGCACAGGTAACAGGGCCTGGCAGCCTGCAGGGCTGGGTATGAGAAACTCAGATTTTCTCTTCTCTGAACAGCTGCACAACTTGAGAACTCAAGAGCTGTTACAATTCAAAATCTTGCTCTCCCCTGCCCCAGCATATTTTAGCTTCTCAGCAAACTCATCCATGGCCTTTTCAAGCCTTACACACAAAGAAGAAATGCAAAAATTGCAGCCGTGCGAGTTAAGAAGTATCCTACAAAACAGCAAATGCATAAAAAAGGGCTTTCTTGTGCTTCTGGGGCATTTCTCCTACACCAGTGTCAACCAGAGCAGGCAAAAACATTTTACACAACCAGTTTTGAAAGCAGCTGGTCACCATGACACTGGGACAAGGCTACCTTAATAAATCAATCTACTGGGTGTCCCTCCACACACCAAAGCTGCAGGCACTCAGCCAGCTATAGCTGCAATAGCTAATTTTTGAGGGTCAAATTTTTGACCCAAGAATATTTTGAGCTTGCAGGGAGCATCTATTTGCCCACCTAATGAGCTGGGATCACTGCTTTCACTTCCTCTACAGCAGGAAAATGTACATCTTAAAGGGATGTAACTTTGCACAGGGTCAGTACATGCCCTGAACACAGATTGTGGCTGATCCAGTATGTGCTGCTTTATGAATCACAGCTTTGAGAAATATCTCACAGAAAATAACATTTTTGTCCTACAATAAACCTTGAAAAGTGATAGAATGCCAAAGCAATAATTTAGGTCCTTGCAAAATCACCAAGATCAAATTATTTTTCTTACCAAAAAAAATCTACTAATAGCCCCTGAAGGGTCAGGGTATCAGAGATCATCATTAAAATGTCAACATCTGACAGTAACCACAGGTTTTAAGATCTTGCCTTGAAAAATCTGCTCCACTGCTGTGTCAGTGGGGTCTCAGCAGCTTTCCACTTTCCCTGTCACTGTTTGTAGGACAGACTACCAAAAAAAGGCAAAAAGCAGGAAGCTTGCTGATATACTTACAGATTTTCACACCTGGTTATTAGATAAAATTTCAAGATGCTCAGATTAAAGGCAGCCTAAGGTGACCCCAGTCAGTAGTGATGAGATTTCTATGAAGCCCATAAAGGAGGTCCTCCAGGCACTGTAAGGGCACAGCTGCCCTTCTTGTAGATTTAAGGAAGGAGGAGCCAGATAAACACTTCTAGAGTCCCAGGGAGGTTTATTTGTGGTTAAATCTCTGCTACAATGATTACCAGCAGATACAGCACACACCAGACAGCAGAAGCAACAAGCTCAAGTGCTGATTTCATTCCTCAACTAAAATTCTCTGAGTGGGAGACTTCTGACGCCTCTCCCAGCAGTTCATGCAGCTCTATGAAAAGAACAGGATTTGCACACCCTTTTTTCCAGTTTGGTTTTTTTTTTTTCCTCTCCCCAGAAGCATATTGCTACAGACAAAACGCAAATACAGAAACATGGGGGAAGATTTCTTTCTTACCACCACCTCTGGGGACCACTTCTGGCACCTGGCAACACTCAGAGCAACAGGAGAATCCCCATCTCCTCCCTCCAGGGAAGTACCACTGCTTATGTCTCAAGAGATTTGTTTTCTCATTTGCCTATAAGCAAAAAAGACATTCTCCAGTGAATGAAGGTAAAAATATTTTGTTTAGAAGCAAAATGCAATGCAAACAAGCAGCTGCCAACCCAGGTAATGAATAACTCAGACACTTCTTTCTACAGTTATGAGTCTTTTTCCTTTCTCTGTATAAAAAAAACCCTACTTGATCCTTCTTCACATATATATTTCTACATTCAGCTCCACAGGTACCAACTATTATTGCTTTCAGAAGGCCTAACTGGCACATGTCTATGAAATTAAAAGCAAGTGCTCTAAATCTACCACTAATAGTGAAATTGCAGCTTCTATTCAGACAGAAGCAAAGGCTTGCATAAACAAGAACTAGCCTACTTTTCCTGGCTTTACTAATCAGCATAATAAAAGGTTATTTTATTTCTCTTACCTCCAAACCCTGTCTTGAGAGAAGTTACTGAAAACGAAGCAGAAGCAATTATCTGCTCTCAGAACACACACTTAATCCCTATATTTTATTAAGAGTGTTTTTTATGATCCTGAAGCAATTAAGCTAATCATTATTTAATTTTAGATTACTGAACTGGAGATTTACTTCAGACACAAGCTCACTTTCCACATAATTTAGTCTCAGTAATTAGAGATGTACTTTACCCAGAGGTGGCTTGTTTAAAGCATGTTATCTAATTTCACAAGCCTCACACCATGAAAGTTTCATGCAGAAACCTACACCCCAAACTTCAAAAATGAGAAAAGCCCTGAAGACACTCAGATTTACCAGACCTCAAACCTATTTTTCCCTTAAAAAAATAAAAAATAAAAAATATTCTCCAAACATGTGCCCAGCAAGTTAGTGTATCACAAAAGCTAACACAAAGCATTTCTATAACCCACCACTCCTTCAGCAAGTTGTTAGAACAAAGAGTGCTCCTCTCACACAGATCACTTCATTTATAACTTCTTTTAACCAGGATGCAAAGTGTGCAGACAAATAGAAATGTTTGATTAGGATGTTCAGCAGGTACCTGCCACAGGATGTAATCAGTGAGGAAACATTCAGACACTTGAAGAGTTCTGTGACAGTGTTATCAGAGGAACAGAAATAAGGACCAGGCAGGTAGGTTCTTAGTGTACATGCTGACCCTGGACATGATACCATTGGAAAACTGCTCAATTCCAAGCTACTTCAGATAAAACTGTGCTGTAGAAACCAAACTGTACTTGGAAACACCAAGTACCCTGGACACTCCTACCCACCCTGCTCAGCTTTAGCTCAGCAGACAGTTAATGCCAGGTCATCCAGGCTGGGACATCGGCCAAGGCTAGTTTTATGTCAAAACACACTTCCTGGCTTTTGGAACAAAGGGCATCATCTTCCACCACTGCCACTAAAGAGAAGGAAAACATGACCAGGCAAACATTTGAAAAACACACACTGCTTTTTGCAACTTTTTGCCTTCTAAATCCTCCAACAAAACCAAAACGTGCATCTGCTCAACACTCAATTAAAAGCCAACTGTATTCCAACCTCTAAAAGTGCAGAAGATACAGATTCATTTCAAGACTTTAGTGCCAGTACTTTCATGAACCAGTTTGACTTGTCACATAAGAAAGGTGACAGAACTCACCAACAGCACGTGAGATTTCAGCAAAGACTGACAAAGAAGAATCAGAACATGAAGCTACAAAGAGCTCAGAACAAAACAGGCTGGTTACTGGGAGTGTGTTCAAAATAAATACAAGTAAGTGTCAGCTATCTGGATATTCAACAAACATACTTTTCCACATGGTATCCCATTAGAAGTGTGAACTTGGAGACAGAGGAATTGTGACAGCAGTAAAGATTCTGCCCAAAAGAGATGGTGCTTGACAGCACAGAAAGAAAAATCTGCAGGCTTTTTGGAAGTAACTGATGAAAAGACAAACCCCAACAATCAGTCTTCTAGTTAATTAATGGCTTGCATACAAAAAAAAGAGTAATTATGGCAGCTGGTGACAAAGCTGGGAAGCAATCTGAACATGAAGGCGCATGGAGGTGTTAACAACACAGGCACCATGGCCATGACTGGAGCCACAGGACTGGGATGCACTTGCTCCTCATAAGACAGTAAAGACAACAATTAGGAAGGAAAATAAACCACTTCAGGCAAAAAAGGCTGCTGAAACCAGAACAAACAGGTATCAGCTGGTCAAGAGTAAGTTCAGGCTTGAACCCTTGAGAACAGCAAAGTTCTAGGAGAAGTTTTTGGTGGCAATAAACCTACACGCTTAAGGAAGCTCCATTATGACATATTACCAGCTTTCTTTAGCTCCAACTATTTTTGTAGCTGTTCCATCTAAATATTCAGCAAAAGGTCTATGAAAGAATCACCAAAAGCAAGTGGTTCAGTTGTCAGTGCTGGTGGGGGAAGATGATACTGTGAATTACAGAGCTGGGGGGAAGCTGGCTTATAGGATAACACATAAAAAACTGCCGTAACATTCCTGCACACCTGCATGACAAACAAACACTGTTAAATTTAAAATAACATCAGCCATGTTGTTTTCATTAGAATCCACACATGCAACTATGGCAATAAAAAGTGTTCATTAAAAAAGCTCAGCAAGTCACGAGCAGTATCTCATCCTGCTTCCCATTATCCCACAACAAAGGGATCCTTAAAACCAATCCAACACAAGTTGAGCTGCTCCTTGGAACAAGCACTTTCTCTGGTCTTGAAGCAATTCTTGAAAACATGGGCTACCAGAAGGATCTTTGCCTTTTTCATTGCCCGTGTACAGCAACTCCCATGCAGACATTTTACTAAAGCTGATAAAACTGAGGTCAAAGTTCCCAGAATGAAAGAGTGAAACTGGTAAGAGATTAATTTCTGGTTCAAGACTGAAGCACAGCAGCGTTATGCAAGAGAATAGAATCTGAAAGCAAGCTTTGATCTGGAAATGTTTATTGTACTGGTGCCTGCTAAGAGGTACCTGCGCCCCAAAGAATGAGAGAGAAGCTCTTCCCATTTGAGATCTTCATCTTTCTCACTTGGAAAATAAATGTATTGAGATACAAATATATAGATATATAAATAAAACACTATGTACTGGACACTGGCAGCTGTATCAAATTGCTTTTCTGATGTCTTCTAAAATGGAACAAACAGATTTAGGCAGCACATTGAGGATGAGAGACACAGTTAAGCATACACACACAAGTATTTTTCCATTTCAAAACAGTCCTGCAATTAATTATAAATGTGCATGCACTTAAACACAGTTTCTTTCTTGCACAGTACTTGCACTGAATTCAATATAACCTTCAAACCCATGTTTCCATTAGCTCCTTTGTGATACCAGAGCTTTGAAAATATTCTCAGTGCTCCAACATTCAAGGCACACAAGATTCAAAAGCGGCCACTCACAACTCTATCTTCAGCATCATCTCACAAGGAGAACATTACATTCCTTTTTATTTCCTCCACCCCTTCTTTCCTTTTTCTTAAATCATTTATTAAAACTACTGAAAGTATTTTCTGGTCAGCTTTCTTCCTCACTATAGGAAGCATAAATATCTTCTAATCCCTGGTTCCACAGCTTAGTTCCCTCTCTAAAGGCCATCTTCTATATAATAACCTGATGTTGATGGACTAATGTCAGGAGAAAAAGTGGGTGAAATGATAATGTATTTTTAATCACAAGTTGAATTACTCCCTAGATAGCAAAGCTGATTTCATGGCATGCCCCTCTCTCAGTGCCTTATGGAATCATCCATCACTGACAGAATGACTTTGAGAAATTTCTTCCTGCTACCATCCTACAACTGTGACCATCACCTCTCAGAAAAAGAGCCTTTAAAAACAAAACTAAAGATAACTGGAAATTAGCAGCAGGAAAACCAGAGAGGATGTCAGTAAGTTATGATGGGTGTACAACAATCAGAAGTGGTTTCCCCCCTCGTAATCCATACCTGACCTATGAACCTTCTTGCCACGGCTGTCAGAGGTGGTGTAAGTAGAGTGAAAACAGAACTGGAATCCTGAATTACACAGAAATGACAGAGCAAATACCAGTTATTGTGTTGACTGTAAATCCTGTAGTAGGGAAATCCATTATAAACCAGACTACTGATCTAGACGGACCAATGACAGACAAATTCTCTCCTTTGCAAGACGGAAATTAGACTTCTTCAGCAAACAAAGCTATTCATTTTCCATTGCAACTTGCAACCAAACCCTTCAAGTCCTGAGCTTCTCTCTAAGACAAGAGAGGCAAGAATGAAACGGGTGAATGTATCTGTGGCCTCATAATACCACAAAGATCCATGTTCACTCAGCAGGAGAATGTGAGCACCAGCAGCCCATCAGTTTCATCCAACTCTCTCCCTAACCATGTAGAGCCAGGGTTCTGATGGATAAACATCCTGGAGCAGGTTCAGCTGTGGCAGCCTAAAACATTACTGCCCCCTCTTGCCCATCCCAGCCTTCTGCCAGGCATCACTGCTCCATTCATCCACCTCAGCTGCTCCAAGCCACAGCACAGTGTCACTTCAACCTCCTGATGAAGGTGGGTTCTTATCATGGCTCTTATTTATTTTTTATAGGCAAACTGCCTATAAAAAAAAAAACCTGTAATTTTCCAGCTGTGAACTGCTGGGGCTGAAGCAGCTGCACATGATCCCTTCTGCAGTGGTTGGCAACACCTGGAGGAGGAGGAGGTGATGTCAGAGGTCATTGCAGCAGGTTTGATACAACTCTGGTCCAAGTCGAAGAGGTTGAATTATTCTTGGTGAAAGAGGCTGCAATTCTCCTGTTGCTAGAGCCCAGAGCCAGGGTAAGTTCTCAGCAAGTTAACTCAGTACAGCACTACAGTGCTGGAAAACTTTCACTCCGAGTTTCAGAGGGGACAGAATTCCAAATACTGGACAGGAAACCATGGCCATGTGAAAATGAAGCTGGGAGACAGCTGCCCTAAGCAACCAGGGCAGAGCATCTTTGAAGCAAGTGAAGTGTGCCCTGTCCTGGGAAATCTAATCCCAGTTAC